CCAATTACCCATAAGTACGAGTAGAGAACACAGAGGACTATCCAAAAACCACTGTATTGGAAAAAATGGAGATTTGAGACAGAAGAGAAGGACCACAATGTTATAAAACTCAAGTGAGGACATTCGTAGCAATCTCTCGCAATATGTAGGGACTCCAAAGAGGGTAAAAAGGGAAATTTTGACACCCAAAAGAGACCTTCAAAAATGAACATGCTACACTCCCCAGATTCCTGTCTCCCACACGTATAACAGTTATGACTTTAAGACATGTGTTGACACTTCAGGTGACTCTGTTTACAATGTAAACACTATAACCGATTATTTATTTATACTAAACACTACAAATCGAGTCTGTTCCATCCGACCGCCACGCCGGCGTGATCAGATCACATGACCTTTTCAAGCCGGTGACCGCATTAAAACAACAGTCCGGACACATTGCCGTGTGTTTCTGTCGAAAAGTCTGGCTTGAAACTATATCCCAGTCTTTATTTCATGCAAAAAGACCCAGTAAACACGGAGATACGATGATATAAAGTTAATACATTTCAAAAGTATGAAAAATGGAAGCACATATTTGAATATCTTTGCCGTATTTGATCATTTTACGAAACGGAAAATACTGGAAACTGTAGATCCTGCTCAAAAGGATGTATGTGTATTTCTGTCGAAAGTACTGACTTGAAACTATATGCCAGTCTTTGTTTCATGCAAAAAGACCCAATAAACACAGAGATACGAGGATATAAAGTTAATACAAATATATTTCAAAAGTATGAATAATGGAAGCACATATTTTAATATCTTCACCGTATTTTATCATTTTATGAAACGGAAAATACTGGAAACTGTAGATTCTGCTCAACAGGATGTTTTACCAGGGAGGGGGTGAGGTAATCAGGTAAACGGAGTGATATGAAGCAGACGAAGAGAGACGGCGGGAAATGGAGAGAGACGAAGATATACGAAGACAGGCGGCGGGAGACGAAGAGAGACTGCGATTGAGGTAAAGTGACAGACAAACATTGAGAATTTAGATATAGTTAGATAGATTTAGAGTTTTGAAGATTCAACTATGACGAAGAGAACTCTGAACGTGAGTCAAGCTATGAGCTTGTTTTTTGACATGGAGGAGGAGGAGGAGCCTGTGATGTTGCCCTCTGTGTCGTAGTTGACAGAAACTGCTTTGAAGCGTGGCACAGATAAAGACAGAAAAAACAGATTTTTTTACATAATGTGTATATATATCTTTGTATTATATTTATAATAACACTTTTGCCTTATCAGAATGAAATCGCATGTACATTATTTAAGCTTTTAAATGTTTTGTTGTGCCTACTGTGTCATTGTTGACAGAACTTGAGAAATGAGGGAAAAAAGCCTATGGATACACCTGTTATTTGTTCATAACATTTGTATATAGGTTCATGCTACCTCAATCAAACTTTCACATTATCATAGTGACATCCCATGTATATATTTCCAGCTTTCAAATGGTTTCGTTGTGTATGTTTGTGTTACCTATATGAAATATAATATCATTTTCAAAATCAATTTTTACGTTTTTTTGTGAGTTTGGGTCCAAAATGTTCATATAGTATCTCAAAATAAAATAAATAACTATCAGGTTATATAGGTGAGGTTGTCCTTAAAAAAAAGATACCAAACATTGACATGGCAAACATTTCTTAATGGGGTTTAGTAAGACAAATCAAAAGTATGCGAAAACGGCCAAATTAGCCCAGGACTCCAAAGGGTTAACTAATTTAAACAGAAGAGACTGGGACAGTGAGATAATGCCGGAGAGAAGTGGAGCGTGAAAGCATGCGATTAACTGAGGAGGAGGCCGGAGAGTGTCCTGCAGCTGCAAGGTCGCAGGACGCATCCTTAAAGAAGCCGATGACTGCCGTGGCTGCTCGTGCCTTACTGTATTTGTAAACTGTGTCGGAACGCTCCTTTTCACGAGTCTCCAAAGAGATATGCGAAGAACAAAAAATGTAATTATTAGAATTAAGCTCCAGCTCCCCAGTGACATTCAAACAAACAGGGAAACATGCAGGATGTTATAGTAATGAAGCTATCAGAAACAAACGGGTGCTTTTAAGAAATGTGGCCTCTTCACTATAAGGCAACAAAAAACATTCAAATATATTATTTTAAGTTTAGTTTTGAGTGTTAAGATAAAAGACACACTGTTATGTTTATGGTGTTCATACAACAGTCACACAAGCCTTTATAAAAGCATAGTTCTAGAGCAAATTGTGTTAATTTTATTTTAGACAGAGATTTAATTTGTGACGTTTGTCTAGGGAGGTCAAAAGCATCAAAACTGATATTAATTTGTGATATGACCTTTATTTCTAAAATACTGTAGGTACCATACCATCAGTATCAAGGGGCTTGAGAATTATGGCATCCTGTCAACATTTTAAAATCTAAAATGACCCCCCCTAATAACGCAACATTGTAAACAAAACGTCTGATTTGATATCAGCAGAAGGAAAGATAGTACATGTAAGCTGTTAGCAGCCAGTATGCGAGATGCTGTTGACTTGCATTACAGTTTGGTAAAGCTCCTTTAAGTTAAAATAAGTATTCACATTGTGGGATTTTATGGTGTGTCTGCGTCCGTCAGCCGCAGTTGGGAGCGCTTGGTTGTGGTGCTGCTTCATTCTGTCTAACATGCACTGTCTCATTGTGTCAGTTTGTGTATTTATCCTTCATGTTGTGCGTTTTCTCAGAGATTAGGTTGTATGTGTGTATATTCTAATACATTTAAATAAGTATTTTTACATTGTATAGTGCAGGGGTCGGCAACCGGGACCGTAACCAGTGGCACACTAGGAGTAAGTGTGCAAAAATATTTTAATTGTATTTTCGGATCCTGAACGAGACCGCCTGCAGAAGGAAGCCATGCAGGCAACGCAGCGCAGAAGGATAACTTCTAGGGCCCGCTCTCTTTAACTCCAGTCGACTTTCTGCTGCTTTCCTCCATGGTGAAACGACCAGGGGTGTAGCGCACTTCACACATTGCATTACCCACAAGGAGCTTAACATGCCGCAGTTTTTGCGTGGCTGTGTCTTTAGTTGAAAGCCGAGTGGCGATCTGCTCATCTGTCATCGAAAACAAAATATGCTACACAGGGGCGGACTGGCCAACTGTGTGTTCTGGAGAATCACAGTACGTCCGGCCAACAGTGAACCGAGCCGGTCGTCAGCGGGCCGTTGACGACCGGGCTCTGTTCGCTGACGGCCGGGCTCGGTTTGCTTACGGCCGGGCTCGGTTCGCTGACGGCCGGCACCGCCCTTTATTTATTTAACTGTGTTTAAACTGCATCATGTAAATTGCGCTGACAGGCGACAGAGGTCCACAGGTAACCCGCAGCGAGGCTCCCCCCGCCCTCCCGTTGACAGTTAACGAGCGTTGGCACACTAATCAGATATTTTTTGTTGAAATGGCACTTTATATCAAAAAGGTTGCCGACCCCTGGTATAGTGTAACACCATGCTGCCCTTCTGAAACACACCACCACGCCCATAGCTCACAGTCAGTCCATTCATAGTCCATATCAACTCTAATTTTTTTGTCAAGATGCGTGAATTAATAAAGTTGTATAAAGGAGATGTTTTCACACAAATGACAAAGTAGATATGGAAACTTGCGATTTTTCTAAAAAACAACAACCAAACCATAAAAAGACGTGTATGTTGAAGTTAATAATAAAGGGCTGTGTCTTCATTGATTATAAATCAGTGTGATTCTAAATCAACAAAAATGCCAAAAAGAAAATCCTTAAATTGTAGCTGCATTAAATACACAATTAAATGATCAACTGACACTCATGGCGTCTTTTTACTGCATGGTACGGTTCAATCAGACATGAC